GGGTGAGTATGAAGGGCCAACATGAGCACACATTTCAGTGTCTGCAAAAACTTCAGGACGTAACAAAAAAAAAAGTAAGCCTTCACAATAATTGCTAATGAAGACATAAGTGTTAAATTGGAGCCAAGGCACAAGTAATCATAAACCTTTCCTGAATGAGTTAGGAAAGGCCTTAAAGTAGAATCTGTGAAGAACAATCCAGGATGTAACTGGCTGTAGTAAAAATGAAATAAAATCAACACAAAGTTTCCAGAGAAACAGGACATTTCAGACAAAAGTCCTTCATCAGATGTGCAAGAAAAGTCTTTCTGAGAATTACACACACACAAAAAAAAAAAAAAAGAATTAACATCCTTCATGCATTAACATTGCAAAGTGTCCCTCTTGCTATGCTTTATGCAGAGCCTAACTGATCTTCTGGTGTTGTTATTTTGTTCATGTTTATCACATTTCTCTCTATTTTCTCTCCACTTGTTTGTCTTTCAGAGCTATCAGTCCATGACGATCCCAATAAAGTTTTGGGGAAAGACCATAAACCCCACAGACTGCTTGTTCCAACTCCACTAGTTTTAGCCAACGGCAATGCCAAATTGCTGAAAAAAACTGATTTCTTCACTACTGAACAAAAACCAGCTGTACTGGTTAACACACCTAAAACCGCTGCAGTAAACTCTCGCCAGTCTCCAGAGTTACTGACTTCTGCAGATGGAACTGCTATATCAGCTCCAAATCCTGCGAAACACGAACCAAATGCTTACTCACCCAGCGATGGGACTGACTTGCCTCCTTCTTTTATACCTGAGCCTCCAGTCAAACCTGACTCTTCAAGTGGTGCTATAGCCAAAGACAACCCTCCTAAGAGTAATATCGATCCAAGGTCAGATCAGAAGCACAAGAGTATTTCATCTGATATGCCAATGGAGCTGCTTCCTCCTCCTTCAGACTTTATGGATGAGCCAGTACTCCCACCAGTACTTTCACCAGTACACACTCTGCCAGCAGCACAAAACCAACCCCAGACCTCAACTCGACTTTCCTCACAGCTTGCATCCCAATTCCCATCACAGCCATGTCAAAGTGAAAGCAGGCCAATCGCCCCACCTCCAGGTTTTGATGGACATATCGAAACAAACAATCCTCCAACACCACTGTCTACATCTCCAAGAGGACAGCTGTCCCCAAATGAACTAGACAAGTTGCGTAAAAAAGCATCAATGAAGAAAGCCCCAGAAAAAGTACCAGTAGTTGCAGCAAAATCTAGCCATAATGTGTCAGACCAGGCAAATTCTCCAACCTTTGGTCCAGATACCAGTGCATTCACTGTAGTGGAATATGGAGAACCTAAAAGCCCACCCACTGTGGCACCCAAACCCAAAAAACTGCCTTCCAGCATTGTCCTAAAAAGCCACAAAGATGCCACACCAGGTCATTCCCTCGTTTCACCAGGTGATCGTATGATGATAAACCAGCAGAAGGTTCACCTGGAAGCTCTGAAGAAACTAGGCTTGCTGAAGAGTGATGAGTCTGACTCAGGCCTCTGCCCCATTCCACCACACAAGGCCTCTTCACAGACTCCCTTTAACACAAGCACTTCTGCAATGTCACATTCTGCAGAACCTACTGCTAGTTCTGTGCTTGTGCATGCCGAGCACCATGCAGTAGTTGAGGCACAAGGAAAAACAGATTTTTCATTTTTACCCGTACACCCTGAAAAAGAAGAAAGAGAAAATCTGTTGATCACAAGGGCGCCAAGTCCAAAACCCTTTGAAATGAAATCGGCGTCCATGGAGCGACTGGGCGTAGGTCTGAAAAGCCTTACACTCGAGAATCCCTCACAGTTAACAGGCCAGGAAAAGAGCCCCGGGAATGTGGCAGGTCCGCTTGGACATCTGCAAAATAACCGATCTCAACCTGCTTCTGTGGGAAGCTGGAAGGACTTTATTGACCAGATACCTTCTGAGTCAAACAGAGAACCAGAGCTCAGGAGATCTCTGCCCATCCCTGCTCCATCAATGGCACAGCTGAAGGTTGAGCCCCAGAAGTCTCTTCGGTCACATGGCATCAGCGTGGTCATCTCCCCACAGAGCAACAACGGCGAGGATCGCAAGCAGGCTCTGAGGAGATTGGGACTGATCAAAGACTAAGCTTCAAAATGGTTTCCCAACAAACTGTATATTGGACCTCCTGGTCAATATTACTTCCAAAAGCAGGAATCCTGATCCAGGATCTAGGATGTATATCTATTACTTTCTAATCATTAGACTGGAATGGGGAGGCTGTGGCGTAGCACTTTTACTCTAGACACAGATTTCCAACCCTGGTCCTGGAGAACCCCCTGACCTGCTAATCAGCTAATTAACATCCCTTCCTGAGTTGAAGTGGGTGTGTTACAGCAGAGAAAACACTAGAATGTGTAGAACAGGGAGTTCTCCAGGATAAGGGTTGGGAGCCTGTCCTGTAAGATGTAGTTACAAATGGGTCTCTGTATGTACACTGGACATTTAAGAAAGATGCTGTATGAAAACAGTGCCAAGGACATTCTTTGAAGTCTTGGACGTTCTGGACGTGCTGGAACTTTTTTTTTTTACTTTAGTGGAGAAGTGTAAGATTTAGCAAGTAGACATTAATTGTTAATGTTAAGACATTAATTGTGGATGAATTGTGATTCTACTAGTGTGCCTGCTGCTACATTGTTTATTGCTGAAGGATCTGTTTGGATAAGTGAAGGATAATTACAAACGTCTTTACTAAAATACTTAGTAGTAAGTGTTGCCATTACCAGACAGCCATTGCAGTCATAGTGAGCAATTACCCTACTGTTCTTTTTTTTTTTTTTTTTTTTAATTAGCGAGGGCCTCGTTATTGAAAATAAGGGCTAGCATTTGACACCAAAGCTCTGTTTGAACATTGCTTCAAACTGCAAACCTTGTTTCAACTATACAGTTATTCTCTTTCGAACAGCACTTTATTATGCATGTATGGAAAAAAAAACTATTAATACAATCTTTATTAATAAACTTCTCATTCTTGATTGCATTACCTGTCATTCTCATTAGAGCTAAAATGCGAGGAACTTGGGACTCATCATGGTGTCTGTTCACATACCACCATCAGTAGGAGTGCTGATCTAGGATTAGTTTGTTGCCATAAACACATTAATTTGAAATCACCCAGGAGAGCCAGCACAGACAAGGGCATAATCAGGGTGTGATATTTTTGCGCAAGAATCTCTTAAGGCACTGACTCGCACACAAAGCCTTCGTTATGTCCTCCAAAAAAACGCTGATCCATGTTTTCATTTCAGCACAGCTCCGACATACTCGAGGTTCTTTTCATGGTTTCAGCAGGTTGCAATCCTGGAGAAACCAGTCAGACCTGATTCGAGGCACCAGGTCTTTATGGCTTTAAGTCAGTATTCTGTAACATTACCCCTGTCTCTCCTTTAATTCACGTTGCTGTTTGACCACACATTCAAGACGTCTGACCGTCTGAAGACCTCATTCATTTTGGAAATTCACAATGATGTCGCACTTAATCTGTAAACTTGACACATAAAACTTCACATTTAAAGTTATCCTTGTGTTTTTCTTTGCTATAAAGGTAACTGTTTTCTTGCTCTCACCTTCCTGCTCTATAAGTGTTTGCGTTTTTACAAATTCAAACAACACTTAAAATTTCCTTACGCACTTTAACGTAGGTTTTTGTTATTTTGCTCTACAAGTCGAGTAACTATTGACTGCTGGTAGGATTCCTGTAAAACAGTGTCGTAAGTCTCATTGCACCCAGTTCAAGTAATTTAAAAGAAGCTGTACTGTGAGACCTTTTCAGTGCTACACAGGCGCAAAAACATGAGGACTTGTACTTCCACAGAGATGTACTGTCCTCTAGTGGATTTGTAAGTGCAACACTAGTGAGTCTACTTTTTTACTTGGTCATCTAGTGCAGGGGTGTCAAACCTTTATTACTTTATGTATTTAACATGTTCTATTGATTAACACGCATAATCTAGGCTCTGAAAAAACCCAGAACCCTGAAGGATCTGGAGAGATTCTGTACCGAGGACTCTGTTTCCTCACTCTCTATTCTCAGAAGAATAAATGCTGAAAATGCAATAAATGCCCCCTCTTTACCAAGGGTGCCAAAACTTATGCCATAACATGAAGCAAGATTGTGTGCACATTTGACATTTTCTTCCCATCATACCTCCACCTCTGGCAAAACAGCATTGTATTAAAGCCATACATGACTCTGAGCATTAGCGTTTGTTGCTGCTCCTTGTCATCCCTTTAGGAAAAGGAAGTGACAGGTTTGGCCGTGAGGTTTCCTTACAACACTCCAGCATGCTCTGAGCCCACACAAGAGGATTGGGATGATGAGTAATGCCAGTGGCCTGTTGATTTGGTTTATGTCTCACAGCTGCTCCTTCCAGCTCCTCAGCGTGAGGCCTCTTACGCACAAACAATAACCACAATAATGCTTGTGGTTGACCAGCAATCTCCTTAATAACTCCTGCCGGGGTCTGCACTAATGGCGAAACAGCAGGTCGGATATTTGCGGGCATCATACTGTGGCTGGAGATGGTTCTGATACTTATTTCATTATTGTATTTCCTTTGTTTGTTGATTTTGAGCAGGGTTAGGTTTTTTTTTTTTTTTTTTTTACCATTTTAGGACATAAAAGCTTTAGTTTGCTCATAGGTTTGAGTTTGACCAACTTCTGAGATGATATGAGAGACTGAAACCTTCACCTATGAAGAATAAGTGTGTTGGACAATCGGAAAAATAAAAATCGTCCAGCACACTTTGTCATCATAGGTGAAAATTTCAGTGAGTAGCATGCAGTCTCTCATGAAATGATGGTGAAGGTTAGTGGTGAGCAAGTGTTAGCAGCTGTAGCTTTTTTCCTAAGACTCCTAAAACATGAAATTCATTGAAATCATTCTTGTTTATTAGAATTCTTACTCATTTTGTGCAACATGGTTTTGAATAACATGGAGTGGGAGCAGTGGTGGCTGAATGGTTAAGGCTCTGGGTTACTAATCAGGAGGCCATGGGTTCAAGCCCCAGCACTGTCAAGCTGCTGCTGTTGGGTGCTTGAGCAAGGCCCATAACCACATCCCCTCCAGGGGTGCCATGTGGCTGACACTGTGCTCTGATATATTATTATTTCCAATTTTTATTATTATGTCTCGTTGTCTTATTAATATGTGTGTTCTGGGAGCTTCATACCAAGTCAAATTCCTTGTGCGTGTGAGCACACTTGGCAATAAAAGCTCTTTCCGATTCTGATTCTGATTCATTTAAGAGCAAAAATTCAGTAAAGGAACCTTGTAAATATGTGAGCTTGTTACCTGGGCTTTTTTAAATGACTAATTAAATTTTTTCTTAGATTCTAAGTTGGAAAAAAAATCAAGATAAAATTACATTTTCAACAGTTGCAAGGGCTAAATGGCATGGCGTCTGTGTTTGGGTATTTGGTAGCTAGCTACTTATCTAGCTAATGTTTAGAAACCACTATAATGATTCAAAGATGTTTGCTAGCTAGCAAACATACTGGGTTTATGAGCTAGCTAAGAATATGAAATCTCATTTTATCCAGGTTTAGTCTGTTTAGATAGCTAACTCTCGTGCTCAACTTGGTTAGACACTTCCTAGCTTTCTGATTTTTAAAGATACTTAGCAAAACCTTACATGAGAGAATAATTCATGTAGCTGCATTTTATATCTGTTTGTTTCTTAGAGTCAGTGTTGGAAAAGTTGATTTTTAAGAGTTACAAAGGGTTAAATGGCACCACAGTTGTGGAACCACCCATGTGTTTGTGAATGAACATACAGGGTATTAGGTAGCTAGCTAGTTATCTAGATATTTAGCTAATGTTTGGAAAAGGCTAAAAGGTTCAAGACCTGCTGGGTTTATTAGCAGGCTAAGAATATGTAATCTCACCTTGTCTGGATGTAGTCTGTTTAGCTAGCTAACAACTATTGTTACTGTGAAAGCAACCTGTTAAATGTAATAAAGTCATTTAAGTAAGTAGGTTTTAAATACTTAATATTTACGTGGCAGATTAGCTGCATTTTTGTTTGCTTTTTCTGTATCTCTGTTATCTGGATATATTTCTTTCTGTGCCAGTGTCATGCCATCTCTATGATGGGTAAAAATAAACGAACATGCTGATTTCACGGTTCTGGTTCCGTGTCTGTTTTGCTCTTACTCAGCTCTTAGCTACGTTCTCCATAACAACAGGAAGCCATCTTGTATTCAGGTTCGTTCACAGTGAATTTTAACGTCTGCTCTCATCCCTGTCGTGGTTCTTCATCCTCTTTCTTGACCTCCCACACACCCACACACACTCTCAGACAGATCATCTGGATGACTACCGATCCTCAGCAGATTACCTACACTGATTACTTCTGCACGTAATTTCATATCATCAGACGTTTACAGGCCTTTTCTTTGACAGTGATGAAAGATAGAGATTAAAGCCTTGCTCTGTGATTCAGCACCAGCATGTAATCAGCAAAGCAGGACTGCTGACCCAGCTGGAGATAATGAAGGAACTTTGGCTAAATATATATATACATACATACATATTTTAAATGTTACACTGAGGCCAAATCAGATAGTAAACCCACATTAATTAAAGGTTAAACTCTGTAGAAATGACATCATGCTTTTATCAGGCACTTCATCATGAGCAGCTGTTCTGAGCAATTTTGTTTGGGTGTTTCACCTCTAGAGGTCACTATGATTTACACTTGACTCAAAAGTTTTGGTTAGCAGATTCTCAACCTACTGGGTGTTTCTTCTTCTTCTTCTTTCGGCTTTTCCCTTCAGGGGTCGCCACAGCGAATCATCACTCTCCACCTATCCCTATCTTCTGCATCCTCAACACTTGCACCCGCTAGCTTCATATCCTCATTTATTACCTCCATATACCTCCTCTTTGGCTTCCTCTTCACCTCCTGCCTGGCAGCTCCATGTCCAACATTCTCCTACCAATATACTCACTCTCCCTCCTCTGAACATGTCCAAACCATCTTAATCTGGCCTCCCTGACTTTGTCCCCCAAACGTCCAACATGAGCTGTCCCTCTGATGTAC